TGGTGAGTGTGCGTGTGCGAGATGGTGAGTGTGCGTGTGTGTGTGTATGTGTGTGTGTGTGTGTGTGTGTGTGTGTGTGTGTGTGTGTACGTGTGTTGTGCACAGTTGGAAAACACGTTCCAATCCCAATATCCACGCACCACACAGATCAACACAACACACACACACACAACACACACAAATACACAAACATACACGCACGCACAACCACAACACTCACGTTCATAAGCAGCTTGTTGGTTGTAGTTGTAAACAGGTTCATCACTACGTAGCCTGCCAGCCACAAGAACCCTTCCATGCCGCCAATGGCCATCTTGATGCCTCTCCCGATGATCGATGGTCAACTCCAACACACACACAGACACAGCAGCAGCACCAAAACACAGCAGCTCGCTGGCTGTTGTTGTCGCGTGTGCAAAGTCAATTTTGACATTATTGGAACAAGTCAATTTTGCCTTTTCCTTGCGTTGCCGATTCGCCCCCTGACCTCCTTCCATTGAAAAATTGGGAAACAAACACACACCCAGCTCAGCAACCACACACACACACACCCCTTGCTTGCCTCTTCATCCGTCCGTGTGTCTTGCTGCTTTGCTTCTCCTGTGAGCGGCTCGGAACGCCTACTGCCATCGTCGTTGTCGTCGTCGTTACTGGTGGGTGAGCAGCAACGCGGGTGGATGATTCGTGCGTCTATTGTGTGTGCCCGTGTGCATGGTTGTTTGCAGTGGCGCACGGGCTGCGACACGCAAACAATCACGCATCACGCACATCACACACGTCATACAATGCGCCGCAGCCATGGCTGCGAAACGCAGCTGTGCAAACCTTGGGCGGGCGCACCTCCCATCTTCACACACGCACATGAACGCCTCTTTCTTCTTGTTCCTATCGCACTCCCACCACGCATCACACCTTCTCGACTTGGCCTGCACGGTCATACCCTCCTTCTCACTGCAAGCTGCACACACACACACACACACACACAACCACACACGCACACACACGCACGCAAACTATGCACGCATACACACACACACAACCACACACAACCACACACGCACACAACTGCACACACACACGCAAACTATGCACGCATACACAACTACACACACGAACACACTCGCGCGCGCACACAAACACATGGCAGTCGAACACGGCTGCTTCTTGATTCTTTGAGAAGCGCGAGTTCAGCCAGCAGCTGCTGCGTTCCAGTACATCGCTGATCCCGGCACGAATTAGACAAGGCCCGGCAATACCAATTGCAGCCAGTGCAGATTCTCAGAAGCAGGCCCATCTCGTACACTTCCACCTTCACAGCGGAAACAACATCATGCAGGAAGAGGATTTGGAGCATCCCGTCAAGGTTGGCATGGCAGTGTGTGTGTGTGTTTATGCGCGGGTTTTGTGTGCCTCTCTCTCTCTGTATTTGTCCCTCTGCCCCTCTCTCTCTCTCTCTCTCTCTCTCTCTCTCTCTGTCTCTCTGTCTCTCTGTCTCTCTCTCTCTCTCTGTCTCTCTGTCTCTCTCTCTGTCTCTCTGTCTCTCTCTCTCTCTGTCTCTCTGTCTCTCTCTCTCTCTCTCTCTCTCTCTCTCTCTCTCTCTCTCTCTCTCTCTCTCTCTCTCTCTCTCTCTCTCTGTCTATCGCATGCTCAAGGTGGACCGTGTACGTGGTTGCAGGTGCTCATTGTTGGAAATGGTGCAGTTGGCAAATCATCCATGATTCAGCGATACTGCAAGGTGGGCGAAAGTAAAGCTGGTGCTTCCGGTGCGCCTTGCTTGTGCACCACAACCGTTTTGCCAGCATGCTCTTGCCTTTCCTTGTAGCTGTGCCATCCACACTTCTGCTCCTCTAACCACCATATCCCCAACACCCGACGCACTCTCCAACTACCACCACCACCACCACAGGGCATCTTCACACGCGAATACAAGAAGACCATCGGCGTTGACTTCCTCGAGAAGAAGCTGAGGTGCAGATGCGCATATGTGTTTGTGCATGCGTGAGTGAGTGAGTGTGTGCGTGAGTGAATGAGTGAGTATGTGTGTGCATGTGTATGTGTGTAAGTGAGTTGAGTGTGTGTTTGGTGGGGAGTGAACACTGCGTGGGACGGTTGCTCTTGTCTTCATTGTTGACGCCCCCTGTCCACCTGTCACGCCGCCGCGAGCAGTGTAAAGGGCGAGGAGCTTCGGTTGATGATCTGGGACACAGCAGGACAGGAGGAGTTTGACAGCCTCACAAAGGCATACTACAGAGGTGCGCTTCTCCCTGCGTGTGTGTATGTGTGTATGAACGCGCTTCTGCGTGTACGGTCCTGCAAACGTGTGGCTGTGCATACGTGTTCTCACGTGATGGGCGTCATTCATCCATATTTGTGTTGCGTGTGTGTGCCGTGCATCCACATGTATGCATGTGAACAGATGCGGAGGCGTGCGTGGTTGCGTTCTCCACCATTGATCGCGACTCCTTCGAGGCCGTCGAGTCCTGGATCAAGAAGGTCCCCCCCCAACCCCAATTCCTGTCCTGCCGCGCGCATAATGCTGCGTGCCCCTATCTTGTGCCGTGTGTGTGTGCGTGTGCGTGTGCGTGTGTGTGTGTGTGTGTGTGTGTGTGTGTGTGTGTGTGTGTGTGTGTGTGTGTGTGTGTGTGTGTGTGTGTGTGTGTGTGTGTGTGTGTGTGTGTGTGTGTGTGTGCGTGTGTGTGTGTGTGTGTGTGCATCACGAGTGTATGGGCAAGGGGGCCACCACCACGTTGCTCAGCCTTTTGACTCACGCAACGCGCTTTTCCGCGTTGTTCGTATGTGTACAGGTGGAGGATGAGGTTGGCAGGATACCCATGGTGTTGATCCAGAACAAGGTGCGCATGCAGTGGTGCTGATGATGATGATAACGGTCGTGGTGGTGGTGATCATAAGTGTAGTGCTGCGAAACGCTGGGTCTTGCGCACGCACACACATCGATGAGAGAAACAATCACGCAGGCACTCACTCACTCACTCACTCACACACACACACACACACTCACTCACTCACTCACACACACACACACACACACTCACTCACTCACTCACTCCCTCCCTCCCTCACCCTCCCTTGCATCCAACGACGCCCACCGACAGGTTGACCTGATTGAGGAAGCGGCAATGACGAAGGAGGAGGCCGAGGCGCTTGCAGACCGCATCAAGCTCAAGTTCTACCGCACGTCTGTGCAGGAGAACTACAACGTGGACCAGGTCTTCCAGTACCTCTCCGAGCTCTATGTCGACGAACTCAAGAAGAGCGAGCAGCTCGCAGGTGCACACATATCGGCATGCGTGTGTGTGTGTGTGTGTTTGCGCGTGTGTGTGTATGCGGGCGTACATGTGTGTGTGTGTGTGTGTTTGTGTGTGTGTTTGTATATGTGTGTACACATGTCGGCATGGGTTCGTGCGAACTTGTGTACATGTGCGCCTGCGTACACGTGTGCTTGTGAGGCATGCCCCGCTTTGAACCTTCATGTTTTGCATTACCAACACACTCACATATTCACGCACACACACAATGCACACGGTGCGCGTGTCGGCAGAGGGGACGACGGGAAGCCAGGCAAGCGGCGACGGCACGGCAGCGCCAAAGAAGCGAACGTTTGCAACGAGCGAGGGCGTGGTGAAGCTGCAGCCAAAGCAGCGAACAGGCGGACGCAAGAACAAACAGCTCTGCTCCCTCGGCTGATGCCACACCGTTGAGCAAGCAACACCCACTCCCCCCCCCCCCAGCTCAAGTTTCTTCTTTGTTCTTTTTCTTCACTAAGCACACCACAATGACAACAACACCCTCCCTCCTTTCCTCCTTCTCCACTGCTGCTTCCATCGTCATGATGGCCCCCACATCGTTTCTCTGCTTGCCTTGCTGCTCTCCTTTGTGTCACTCCCGTGCCTCACATGCCATGAGCAAGTGTTGTTCACCCGAGCAACCATCACCTCAGCTGCCCTGCTGTCCTTTCCCTTTCTCGTACCCGCGTTGTGTTGCGTGTTGTGTGTGCTCCAAATTCCCTTTATGTTAGCGCTTTGGTTTGTGTGTTGTGTTGTGTTGTGTTGTTGTGTTGTTGTGTTGTTGTGTTGTGTGTTGTTGTGTTGTGTTGTGTTGTATTTTCCCCCGCCATCCTTGGGCGTGGTGTTGCTGCAGCCAGCTGTCTGTTTGTTCCCGTGCATGTTTAGCTGATGACCATCCATGCACGCCGTTGTTGGCCTTGATTCATTTGCCACATCACCTCCTCTTCAGCTGCATGCAACATGTGTTACGCACTGCTGTTGCCTTGCGTGCATTTGTAGTCTCTCTCTATGTGTGTGTGTGTATGTGTGTTTGTGTGTATGTGTGTGCGTGGCGCTGATTTTCAGTCATTTTCTTGCCAGTTGCTTGGGTTTGTTCCTTGTTCATATTGACCAACCCCACTCATCTTTTGTGTTGTTGCCTGTGTGGTTTTGTTGTTTGGTTCGAGCTGACTGTTGGTTGAGGAAAGAGAGAATACACGTAGATGAATGCCCTTTTGCCGTGTCTCCAACACACAGACAGACAGGTGCCAGCAAGTGCACACACAACACAGCACAACAAGGGAGAGAGAGAGAGAGAGAGAGAGAGAGAGAGTGTGTGTGTGTGTGTGTGTGTGTGTGTGTGTGAGACAAGAC